ATGGAAGACGATACCATAATGTCATCATTAGATGCCTGGAAAATAAAAGGCAATTTTCTGAATTAAAACAAAAGGCAAAGCAACCCCCCTCCCCCCCCCCAGGGCAGACATGGATCCGAAGAGTCAAAGGCTGAGATTGCAGCGGAGTGACTGGGGAGGGGGGGGATGCTCTCCCCCTAAACCCCTCCCTGGCCGAGCTGCGGAGTCACAGGCACTTACTTGTTTCTTGTATCTGGGTCTCGAAGCTCTGGATCTCCCTTTGGTCGCCCCCGCTGAGGGGGGGGGGCACGGCCGGCCCCACGCCATTCTCCCGCGTCTCAGCGCCCGGGGGGGCCGCTGGCACCTCCCCGTTCTGGGGGGCTGGGACCTGCCCCTCAGCCTACAACGAGACAACAGCGGGGGGGACACACGACAGGAGACAAGTCAGTAGAAGATGGGGGGGTATGAAAGTGAGGGGGGTGCTCCTGGAGCCCCCCTCTGCCCTCCCCAGCTGCCCAGACACACGCGGGGATGAGGAAGGGGCTGTTTGGAAGCCACCAAGTCCTCATTGTCCCCACAGACCCACGGCTGGTCCCTGCCAGATCTTCTGAGCACAGGTGACATGTTCCTGAGCACGGGGTCACAGAACCCCAGAATGATATGGGGTTGGAAGGGACCTCTGGAGATCATCTCCTCCAACCCCCACCCAGAGTAGGTCCCACAGGAACATGTCCAGGGGGGTTTGAATGTCTCCAGAGAAGGAGACTCCACCACCTCTCTGGGCAGCCTCTGCCAGAGCTCTGCCACCCTCACACCAAACAAGTTCCTCCTCATCTTTTGGTGGAGCTTCCCCTGTTCCAGTTTGTGCCCGTTCCCTCTTGTCCTGTCCCTGGGCACCACTGGAAAAAGCCTGGCCCCATCCTCCTGACACCCACCCTTCAAGTATTTGTAGGCGTTGATCAGATCCCCCCTCAGTCTGCTCTTCTCCAGACTAAAAAGCCCCAAGTCCCTCAGCCTTTCCTCATCAGAGAGATGCTCCAGGCCCTTCAGCATCTCTGTAGCCCTTTGCTGGACCCTCTCCAGCAGCTCCCTGTTCGTCTGGAACTGGGGAGCCCAGAACTGGTCCCAGTGCTCCAGCTGGGGCCTCCCCAGGGCAGAGCAGAGGGGCAGGATGACCTCCCTCCACCTGCTGCTCACACTCTTCCTGATGACCCCCAGGATGCCATTGGCCTTCTTGGTCACCAGAGCTTCTCCAGGTCCTTCCAGCTCTTCACCGAGCCTCAAGTTGCCCGGCTGAAGTTTACAGAAAGGACAGGAGAGTCCTGATGTGTCCCCAGCAAACACTCCAGCAGCCCGTGTTTTACTGGGGACGATGGAGCTAAACCCACCAGAGAAATCTGATCTTGCTCTTTGGGACAGGGATCTCAAATCCACCCAGCGTTTAATGCGATGGCTCACCCTGGCTGAACCCCAAACCCTTCCACAACACTAAAGAGCCCCCAAAAACCCCAACGCTGGGCCAGCCAAGGGAGCTCAGTGTTTAGGGGGGGGTGTCTCCTCCATCTGTCCATCCCGATGCCGCAGCACAGGGTTGTCTTCTCCCCTTCCAGAGCCACCGGGCAATTCCGAAGCCGCGGTGACTTTCTAATCCCCGGCTCCTCTCTCATCCCTGTGGGGCGTGATAGGTCATGCCCACAAATCCATCCCCCGGGGGGTCCAGCAGGGGAAGTTTTCCCCCCGTAATCACCAGCCCCACGATGAGCCGAGCCCGAGGCCGGGGCAGCTGACGCTCCCGTGGGGAGAAGCGCTGAATCACAGCGATGGGAGAGCAAAAGCATCTCTTGCCCGGGCACAAAACGCCTCTGGGCTGGGCTGTGGTACAGGTTTTGGGGTGAAAACTGCTCCCAGGAGCTGTCTCCCAGCACAGTGCCTTGTTCTCACCAGCTTTACTGGGGTAAAATAAATAAAGAACAAGGAAAAAGGGCCACGGGCACCTTCTCTGATGGTCTCATGGCTTACAGAGTGATCCCCGGGAGGAAGGATGCAGATGGGCAGCGCCAGCCCTGAGTAACACCCAGCAGGGGAGCTCCTTACGGAGCTCAGCTCTCTCCTTTTCAACTCCTACTTACTCCTGAGGTTGCCAACGGAGGCCACGGAACCAAGCAGATGGCTACAAAAGGCTGGGGGTGGAGGAGCCGCACCACATCAACAGCAGGACAAGAAGAACCACACAGAGTGATCCCTGGGAGGAAGGATGCAGATGGGCAGCGCCAGCCCTGAGTAACACCCAGCAGGGGAGCTCCTTACGGAGCTCAGCTCTCTCCTTTTCAACTCCTACTTACTCCTGAGGTTGCCAACGGAGGCCACGGAACCAAGCAGATGGCTACAAAAGGCTGGGGGTGGAGGAGCCGCACCACATCAACAGCAGGACAAGAAGAACCACACTGAACCCCTCCCCCGATGGGCCAGAGCTTGTTGCACCCACCTTCACAGTTCCTCCTGCCGGCAAGTGTCCCACGTTGTCCAGAGAACCCACTTTGGCCTGGGCCTTCTCCTTGAAATTCAGCTTCTGGTTCTCAATTTTGACATCTCCTCCCCCTGGAAGAAGATCATGTAGGAGTAAGTTTGTTGATGCCTCCAGAACAGTCCCACCCGGGTTCTGTCCCCTTCCCAGTACCACCGAGGGACCACTGGGGACCCAATATATTTTGGAGGAGGGAGGTGACCACGTCTCTCTCCAGTTAAGGTTCAGTTTAAAGACCAGCAAGCTCAAAGCCAGTGATTTCCACCTGTGCTGGCCAAGCAAGGCTAGAAGCCAGCAGGGTTGGATGGCAAAGCCCTGGAGGTGCCCTCAAGGTGAGGAACACCACACGTCTGGAGAGACGGGCTGGACAAACACCCTCACTGTGACCGCCTTGCTAGATCTCCTCATCAGTCCCAGAGGTGTGAAATGCCATACTGGGATTGGTGGGTTTCCAGTGGTGAATAACAGCATCCCACTCCTGTCCATGCCCCCTGCCAAGGTCTCCACCAGCTCAACCCATCTGTGGAGTCATCGGTGCTGGGAAACGCTCTGCTCCTTTTCGTTAACTGCCTTCCTCTGCTCGTTATCCATTCCCACCCCATCACTGGGAGCTGCAGGACCAACATCTCCTCCCTGACACACATGGACAACACCACACGGACGACCCAGGAGGCAACCAAGGACAAGCCAAGCAAGGGGACTGCAGGGGACACTTCAGGTTCAGGAGAACACAAAGGTTGGAAGAACAACTGTAGATTTTTAGCAAGACTTTTCTAGATTTAGAAGATTGCAGCTCCCATAAACAAACAAGACTGTGCGTGGGGTCCATATTCCAGCAGGTTTCTCCAAAAAAATCCCCATTTAAGTACTGCTAAACACATATTGCTTCCCAGTGACATCATTAAATCCTTGGTCCTCAGCACTTCGGAAGCTTGGCACAGCCAACGATGGAAGCCAACTGAGTTGGCCTACCAGAAGCCAGTTAAAACATCTGACAGCAGATAAATTCTGGATGGATTATTCTGCTTTAATCAGCCCTGGACAAGAGCTGATTAAATAAGAGCAGTTATTGTTGCTTCCAGCTCGTTATTAGAGAGCGTTGAATAAACCGAGGTCACGGTTGGTGGCACCACGTTCTCAAAGCTGGAGCTCCTTTTGGGGCACTGAAGCGTGGTGCTCGGTGTGTAAGGTTGAACTGCTTTCAACCCAAAACCCAGCAGGCTGGCAGAAAAGGGTACAGGAAAGTCCCAGGAGAAGACAAAGAGGAGTTTGTAGTATTTGTTTTCGGCCGTGGCCAGCGAACTCTGTCCCCCGTGCAGGGCGGTGGGATTGCCAGGAGCTTCCCCGTGCAGACACAAACCAGCAGAAGTCACTGACCCGACCATTCTTGAGGAGGCCACAGAGATACAGGGCAAACAATCCACCTCCAACCACAGCACCTCGGCCTCGAGACCTGCCTGAGCTCCAGCTGGGTGGTGGGACCCTCACGGCTTGGACAGAAAACCCCAAACTGGCAGGAATTCACCCAGAGGAATTGTTGTGTTCTCAGCGGGGAGTGAATAATTCCTGCCCACTCACCCCATAATATGTCATTAAAGAGCCAAAAGCGGTTTATGTAAGAAGCTGTTACTGAACTGAGGGCTAAAGAGACCCTTGTATCTGCCTTGAAGAACTGGAGGGAAGCCCCAAGGCCCTCTGCAAGCAGGGATGAAGCTTCCAAATTCCTGGAACGGTCATGGGAAATATCAAATTGTTTTTTTTTAATCCCAAGTGGGAAGAAAAATAAGAGAACGGAGTGAAAGCAGTAGATTATCTTCCCAGGCAAAATGAAATCCCACGTCTCCTAATCCCCTTCTCCGCTGCCGAAACCACCAGGAATTGATAAAAAACAAGACAGCGCTTCTGAAATACTCCCCAAAAGCAGCAACCCCCTTAATCTGTTCCAGCTGCAACCTCGACACTGACATCGACCCCGACACCGACTCGATCCCGACACGTGACATCGACCCCGAAATGCGACATCGACAGAGAAATCGTGAGGAAAACGGTGAAATTCCTACCTGGCTTATGCTTGATATTTGCTTTCGAGCCACACTTCGAGGACACTTTGGAAAGGTCGACTTTCTTGTTCTGGATCTGCACCTAAAGAGGCAAAAAGAGAAACAGCTCAACAGTGAGAAACATTTCCTGTGAATCTGGAGGCCAAGGGCCCACCTCAAACGTCAGGTCACACTTAAGGAACTTGCACCCCCTTTTCTACAACATTTTATCTCCCTGCTGAGTTCCCAGCCACTGTGTGCCCAACGCTACCGTTGGCTTTAGTGTTATTCCAAGGCCTTCACCAGCCAGAAGTGGTTAATGTGAGCAGACAGAAATGGAGGCCAGATAAACCACCAGATGGAGAGCAACCAGAAACAGGAGTCTTGAGTTCGTGACACATTCACGGAACACGAAAACGCTCGGGAGAGGGACCAAAAAACCACCTGCACCCCCTTTTCTACAACATTTTATCTCCCTGCTGAGTTCCCAGCCACTGTGTGCCCAACGCTACCGTTGGCTTTAGTGTTATTCCAAGGCCTTCACCAGCCAGAAGTGGTTAATGTGAGCAGACAGAAATGGAGGCCAGATAAACCACCAGATGGAGAGCAACCAGAAACAGGAGTCTTGAGTTCGTGGCACATTCACGGAACACGAAAACGCTCGGGAGAGGGACCAAAAAACCACCAATTCCATTGCCGTGTTCCCCAGATGGTTTCTGCCCAGCTCTGGTTCTGCCTCTGGGCAGCTCCTGACTGTCCCCAGGAGATGTCACCTCACCGATCCACTCAACCACCCTCTGGCTGTAGGGCCAGAGAGATGCCACCAGCTCCAACATCTTCTCTCGACCACCTTCACCATGTGGATTGAACCAAGTCTAATTGTCGGGCTTTGTGTGCAGCCTCCTCACAGTCATCCTTCCTCCAGGACAGGACACCAGGAAGGATCATGGTGCCCAGATGGAACAAACCACTCGAAGAAGCTGTCCCTCCTCAAAGACAGAACACTGGGATGGGGAAGTTCTTTCCCAGTATTGTTTGCTTTAACCCCATTTTACCAGTGACTTGATACTGGCGTAGAAAACCTTCAATGAGGAAGTGTTGGGTGATGCAGTCATGAATTCATGAGATATTCACGACTCAGTAAATGACCTTCTTTCCAAGCCAATGAGCCAAATGACCTTCTTCCAAGCCAATGAGCAGGGTGTTTGAGGACATCAGTTTGAATGTGGGGAGAAGGGTCTTCTCTGGGGTAGGACAAAGGTGGAGACAAAATGTCACAGGTTTTATGTCTTTTTGCTCAAAAAGTATTTCATCTCCCACAAGTGAACCAGCTGCATTGCACAAAACCCCATTTCTGGCATCTTTAAAAATCCTCCTGCAGCTTCAGGTGGATGAAACACTCCCAGTGTCCAGAATTAAATTCTCGTTTCTTGGAGACCTGTCCATTTCACACAAACCCGGGGTAATTTATACTGGAAGGAACTCCTGGGCGTCTGGTCTAACCCCCTTCCCTACCAAGTTGACATTGTACCTTTCCATGGGGAAAATCTGGGGGTTTTGGGGAGTAAAAGGATCACTGCTCCCCGTCGTGTCACCAACCACCAGCTGGAACGTACCAGCACACAGAGTTCTGCTACAGATCGTCTCGCAGAGAAAATTAAAACCTTTCTTTTGGAATGTGACAAGAATTCTCTGGCTTAGGAGCTGCTCTAAAAGCTCATTGAGAATGATCACAATAATTTGCAGGACGTCTTCCTCAGGAAGCACGAATCCTCCGAGCACTTGCCAAGAGGGATGAGTCAAAGCCCCCACGTCTTGTTTGCTCGGAACGAGGAGAACAGCGCGGTCCAGCCTCCTGCTACGCTCTTCCGTCTTCACATCCCCGACTCAGTGACACCAGAGACTCCGAAAACACCAAATTTGGCTTTCCTGGGGGCTGCCAGTAAAATCACTGCGGCTTTTACAATGAGCACTTGTCGGCTTGGAACTGGGACAAAACTAGATTTATTTCATCCAATGCGTTTTGAAATAATACTGCTTGTTCTCAGCCGGGGGAGACAGACCCGTGATCCCACCCGGGGATCCAAACAGTTACACCCCAACGGGAGGTGTGTTCCTGGTACGATTCCTGCCACCAGCTCTTCTGTGTTTGCACGAGGAGACATGTTTAAAGGCTCGGGCTTGTGTTTATGGAGCCAAACACTCAGACTCAGGTGCCAGAAACAAACTCTAGGTGGGAAAGCTTGATACGGAGGCTCAGATGGGAAGTGGGATCCTCGTCTTTGGGGGATTTTCTACCTCTGACCATTTCCCAATCCATCTAAGCAGGTCAAGGCGAAGGGCAGAGAAACACGCATCCATTCCAAATCACCTTGTTCCATCTCCAGCACCCACACTTTGTAAAATCTACCTCTTTACTGTTGCTTTCTTTAAAAAGATAGGGGGGGAAGAGTAATGAATAAGAAGCTTTTACCCAGGAAATCGAACTATATTTGTGTAAAGATATTTCTGGCGAATATAATGTGAGTGGGAATGATATCTACTGCTTTGGAACACGTCTTCTTGGGTATCTTGGAGGGGACAAGAAATTATTTCCATGTATAGAAGGCAAAATAGGTACTTGGGGACCCAATTCTCTGGGGCAGGACATCCATCAGTTCTACCAGAGCAACCCTAAAGCTGAATCCTAATTTGCTACTAACCACAGCTCTGGTCCACGAGATCCCTAAAAGCTTTAAGTGAAGCCACAGACGAGAAAAAACAGATTTTCCAGACATCCCCGTCAGCCGTGCGGTTCAGGAATTAAACACCCAGAAGTTCTTCTATCAGAAGTGACCACCGTTAACTGTTTGAATGAGAAAACACCTTGGAGGAGGACACTAATATTCCAGTGCCCCAAAGGAAGTGAGCAGATAGAAAAATGAATAAAAGGAAATGTTTTTTAGGAAGTCAGCCTGGTCTCTGCCCCTCAGCTACTCACACCAGTACTGCCCGTGCTCGGCCTAGGGGTGGTGGGTGGCTGGGGATGGTTGCCCAAGGATGCTCTGGGGGCACCAGCCACCTGGAAATAACAAGCACTTTATTCTCTATCCTCAAAGGAAAAAGCTTAATTAGTTGAGCGAGGAGGGAGAAGCGCCGTGGAAAAAGGAGAGGGTGAAAGAGGAGAAAAATAAAGCAGGGACACACTTGTCCCCTGGAATTGGGAACGTTCCCCAGAGTTGGGAATGTCCCCCAGAGTTGGGAGCGTCCCAGGAGAGGACAGTGAAGAGGAAAGGACGGGCTCGGAGCCTCACTAGAAGAAAGAATAGTTCACTAATGTGGTTAATCAGGCGAGAAAAATATCCCCCACATTTAAATCCCATTTCTGTTGGCCTCAAATAAAGGAAAAGATTGTGTGAGACTCGTGCACTGAAGGCAGGAGCAGCAAAATTACAGGGGGTTTATAAAATACAGCTCCTTTGAGCGCAGGAAAAGTCAAGTTACAACGGCTGCTCCTCAACGGTACGGCCAAAGGGACTCCTGCCACAAAACACCCGTTAAACATCCCCAGTCTGTTCCAAACCAGGGTGAAAAAACCCAACGAAAGCTGCGGCAGGGACAGAAATAAATGTGCAGAGCCAAAAAAAATACATTATGGGGGCACCAAACTGATAGGAGGGTATCAAGGTCAGTTTTAATTCCTGTGGCGCAGAGAATTCTCCCACGTGAGCATTTCTATAGGGAGCTCCACGCACGGGGATTTACCCCTGGAAATGGGGTAAATCATGGGAATGTCAAATAAGAACAGCCAATCCCACCAACTGGAGGACAAGGAGGACAACATGTGTCCAGCAGCTCTCAACGGGGGGGGTCAAGCTTTACTGAGCCTTCAAAAATCTCTTTCTTACCATCTCGGCAACCATCCTGCAGAGGATCATAGAATCATCATGGAATGGTTTGGGTTGGAAGGGACCTCAAAGATCATCAAGTTCCAACCCCCCTGCCATGGGCAGGGACACCTCCCACTAGAGCAGGTTGCTCAGGGCCACAGCAGGTTGCTCAAGGCCACAGAATAAGCTGAAGGAGCCAGATTTGGTTGCCTCTTGCAAAGATTTACGGAAGAATCGGTCACCCCAGAGCAAAGGTTGAGCCAGGTAGGGAAATACAGAGATATTTCCCCAGAAAAGTGGCCGCAGCAGCTCCACGGTCAGATCCTGGGTAGAGTTTGTATCTGCTGAGCCAGGAAGCAAAGAGAACACAGGACCAGCAAGCCTGGCCCCAGAAAATGAATATTTGCACCCAAAAGGCTACGCAGAGCAAAGAGGCAGAGACTGTCATTGATGCCAGCACAGAGAAAGCACCATGAGAGGTGAGAGCTGGACGTGGCTCCCCAGGAACCCGGCAGATTTAGACACCAGAAAAAATGTCCTTGGGTTTAACTACTTCAGTGTCTTTTTGAAACCATCCAATCTTTGTATTTCTCTCCCGAGTACAGACAGATTTGTCAAGGAAGAACAGATTCACCCACGAGGAACCAAGCCTGACAAACTACAGTCATTTTTTTCAAGAGTATTTTAGTATCTACACAGTTCACTTGGCTTTTTTCTGCCGGGCACTTTCAGGATGTAACACCCCAACCCAAGCACACAGACGCTACAAGATTAACCTTCTGGTTTAATGAGCTCAACTCTGCTGCCAGAGATACCAGTAGCCTTTAAATTTAGAAATTAATCGCGGCTCAAAGATTAAGTCCCAGAGTCTTTTCCTCCTCCTTTCTCTAAGTCTCTCTCCTCCTGAAACAAGAAGTGAAATTAGTCCCGACTTGAGCTTGCCCAATGAGACAGTGAAGGGTTACAGGGACTTCTGAGGCATCATTCATTTAATCTAAAAACCCCCAGAAATGGGTCAGAGGGGCGATGAAGCCACAGGAATTCACTCCTGGGGTCAACAACGTGCACGTCCTTATGTTTGGACCGTGACCACCACCCAAACCACGCCAGAAACAGGTCGGGTGCGTTCACAGCACTACAAAACCAACACACACGTTTCACCTGGCACCCCACGGGGGACAAACAAAAAAAAAAAAATCAATTTAAAATGAATCCTCCAGCCTACAGTCATTTCCAGAAGCCCTGAAACTCTGCCACAATTTTCTGCCTGAAACACAGCGTTGGAAAGACCGACACACAAAACCACAGTCCGAGAGAAGGAGTTAGTAGACAGAGAGCTTGCCCAGAGCCCATACTTACATTCCCACCTCCAGGGACATGCTTAATATTGTCCTTGGAACCACACTTGGACTGAACATGGCTGTAGTTCGCTTTTTTGGAGACTATCTGGACCTGGAACGTTACAGAATGGAAAACAACACAAGGGAAGAGGACTGGTTAGAGCTGTCATACGGCAAGGCTGGAGAGGGTGCTCGAACACGGTGGGGAAACGAGGACTCGGGTTAAACTCAATCCAAACTTTAGTAACTTGAGTGTGAAAAGCAACCAAGAAGGAGAGTGAGAAAACAAAAAGCAGGTGAAGGAAACGGAGAGGCTGCACAGACAGTGTTAGTGCGAGAGCAGAAGCGCTACGTGAAGACCAGACCCTGGCTGGGTGAGCATCGCCTGCCTAAAAAGGGGTCACCCGTGTGTCCCCCCCCACCAAGGAGCTCCCTGGTGACAACCAGCTCGAAGCCACCATGGCCAACAACGCTAGGGTCTCCTCAGTGGCCTTCCCATTCGCCTGGATGGACTCCAGCCTCCAGCAATGTCTTAAAACCTCCGGGTGACACCCGGAGAAACGACTCTTCTGGTGAAGGTTGTCAAAACCTCCCCTTAGATCTTAACCAGACGAGTCCTATGTTAATTAAACTGTTTCTCCTTCAAGCTAAAACGTTTTGGGACTATTTCAAATTACAAAATGTATGCTAAGTGAGTTTTTCCCTCCCAAGGGTAGTAACTGAGGTGGAGTCACAGGCTCGTGTTGACAAGGGGTTAGTCACGACACGTCTTTAGTCGGAGGGTTATTGAACACAGCACAAAACATGGCAGAAGCTGGATCTAGAGAACTTTCTAGAAAGAGGTGCCGAATTCGAAGCGCAAAAGGCATCACCAGAACGTTCTCACTTGAGCAGGTTTTCCCCGAGCTCCTGAAGCCAGTTCAGAAGGTCTGGAGCCGGCGCGGCAGCAGCTCTGAAAACGTGCTCGTGCCGTGGCAGTTTATAACCATTTACTGAACTTCTCTAGAGGCACAAACCCCACCCGGTCATTAGCGATGTCCAAATTAAAACCCTGCCTCGTCCCCCATCCCCTCGTGCTGTTTCATCCCTGAAACACCGTGTCACAACAGCTTGGGAGAAACCCCTCAAACACGGACCTAACGCCTGGGGTTGGAGAGTCTGGGTAGGACCAGGTCGGGAATAACGCAGGAAAAAATATAAAGTCCTTAATATCCTGCAATCTTAAAACCAGCAGAGGTGAAGGAAAGCTCTCTCTCTTCCCAGTGACACACTAGTGCTGTGTATGAAGAACTCCTCTTGAGGGAAACCTCCGACTCAAAGTCAAGCCTATCAATCCAAAAATGAAAATGGAGGGCTCTGAAAACATCTACATTGACAGCAGGCGTGGGGAAAGGTCCCTAGGATGGCGACCTCCGAAGGTGTTCAACCAAGAACATCTCAGGCTTCACGAGAAAGAACTGGAGAAGTGTCTGTGCAAGGAACAGTGACCACCGAGAGGAGAGAGCAGAAGAGCTGAAGAAAAGGGAAAGTGACTCAAAATGGAAACGTGTTTGGTTTGTTTTTTGTTTTTTTTTTTTCCTCCATCTCCCACCGAGAAAATTCTGAAAGAAACTCACTTTCCCATTGGGCTGTTTGGGGGCACCCTCTTTTGATACGGTTGTTTTAGTAGTAGCCATTTTAGAGACCGCATTGGGTTCAGACTTTCGCGCAGCAGAGGTTGATTCTGGCTTTTTCTCTATTTTCCCCTAGATGGAGACAAACGGATGATTTCAACCAGCAAAAGCAAAAAAAATGTGGGCAGGAGAGCTGCGGGAACACCAGCCACCCCGAGGACCCCGGGGACACTTCCCACGTGCTGTAACCCCCTGGCAAAATAATCAGGAATTATCACACCGAGGGGGTGGAGGGGAAGCAACACCAGACACGGGATGAAAAAACCAAAAAGCACCCTGGGGTCAGAAAGCAATAATTAACTTCTCCCTTTCCTCAAAAATCTCCCCTTGATGGGGTTTCCCCGAGCGGTGACGCTGGCGGGTCTCTGAGCGACCCCAGTATGTTGTATTTTGGCCAAAAAAAAAATGACCCCCCCATCTTTTAAGTAACCCAACAGCAGCACTGAGCCACCTCCGTCACCTCTCGGAGGCAAAGGCATCCCCCGGGTGGTTTCCTTTGCTTTTCTCTGCTGGGCACACCGTGTTTCCACTGCTGGTGTCCCACCCATGCATTGGTTTGACCCAGGCTTTGAGATCAGCACCTGATTTAATTTTTAATTAATCCAAGGCGGGTGGACCTACCTAGTCCAGCTAAGCAGAAAACGCAATGAAAATTTGCAGGTTTTTAGGAAAAAAATCAGCAACTCCCTGAGTACAGTCATTTTCTGCTAATCTAGATCCAGGCAAGTGCAATAGAACTTGCATTTTTTGGGGAGGTCAGAATAAATCCTGTTTTTCACTGACCTATGGTGAATAAAAATACCCCAGGACTCCTAAGGCATTCTCACACAGCGTAAACAAGACTGTGAAAAGGACAATTTTCTTAAAAGTACAATTGTCAGGATTTAACAATTCTAATTTAATTTTTAATTAATCCAAGGCGGGTGGACCTACCTAGTCCAGCTAAGCAGAAAACGCAATGAAAATTTGCAAGTTTTAAGGAAAAAAATCAGCAACTCCCTGAGTACAGTCATTTTCTGCTAATCTAGATCCAGGCAAGTGCGACAGAACTTGCATTTTTTGGGGGGATCAGAATAAGTCCTGTATTTCACTGACCTATGGTGAATAAAAATACCCCAGGACTCCTAAGGCATTCTCACACAGCGTAAATAAGACTGTGAAAAGGACAATTTTCTTAAAAGTACAATTGTCAGGATTTAACAATTCTAAGAAAACATTTAGAAAACAACAGACAGTACAATTAAATGTAAAACTAAATTCCCTTAAACTGACACAATGACCAGAGCTACAAAGCTCTGCGACCCCCAGACCCTGGCAGAGTTTAAAATGTTATTTTAAACATATGGGAACGATCCCATGTGTCCTTTTTGACCAGTCGGCAGAAAAATTTCAGAATTTCTGTGCAGGGAAGGGCCCCCCTCCTGCTTCCCTCTAAGTTTTCCCGCAGACTTGGGTTGGGGAGGGGAAGTTTCTGTCCTCTCGGCCTCTAAGTCTGAGGAGTGTCCTATGATATTGTACAAATTTGAGAGGCTCTACACTCTGAATAAATTATTTAAACCCTCAGAGGAGGGCTACAGCCCTGCCCCGAACCCTTTAGCACTTCCAGGGCAGATGAAAGCGTAATTTAGGACCCTTATGGATTGAGAGCCTCAAGTTATATCTATGTACATGCTTTTTCTTACAGCTCATTCAACACCACCCTCTTCCTCGTGGCCACCAGACGTTATCCAAAACGCAACGTATAGACCCATTTCATTTCAGCTTTCGGCCTGAGAATTGAAATGGAGCCCCCGTTCCCAGAACTGGGAAAGGTGCTGAGGGACTTGCTCCCGAATCCAAGCTTTCCTGCCTCGTAGTGCGTTATTCCACCCTCTGCCCCACTCAGCAGACTCAGTCCCTCTATTCCAAGGCAAAGCTTTGGAACACAGCCCAGGTTTTGAGCTTTCAATACGTTTCTACATGAGGACAGAAAACCAGAACCGCGGAGTTTGGAGGTCCTGTTCGTACGCCAGGAAACACCGGGCAGGCTCTTAAGGAGGATTCCTTCTGTCTGTCCCATCTATCACTGCCTCGTTTAATGCCTCGTGCGTAAACCCAGAACCCAAAGAGGAGCTCTGCGGAGCGTAAACGAGCGGAGCGGTGAGGGTACAGCCACCACAATTAGCCAAGAGCACCCCTAACGCTGAAGAGCTACCGGTCCAAAGCGCGTACGGAAACAACTGAAGGAAACAACTCACCTTTCCTCCACCCGGCTGGTGTTTAATGTTATCTGTTGATCCGATTTTGGAACGTACGTTTTTCAGGTCGGGAGCAGAAACGCTGCTGGTGGGACGAGGCGACTTGGAGACGGAGCTGGGTTTAGTCGGAGTCTTAGTGGTCGTTTTTTTAGCATCCGCTGTCGCGGTTGAGGTGGTGGTGGGTTTGGTTGGGGCAGGTTTGGGTTTGGGCCGACTGGTGGCCACTCCGGGTACAGTAGATGTGCTGGAAGCGGTGGTAGAAGTGGTGGTGGCACTACTTTTTACTGCATTTCCACTCTTAGGGCGGCTCAAGTCTGCTACAATTATCACGGCGATAATTGAAAGGGAAGGGAGGGAAAAAGAGGGATGAGACGCCATTTACACTTAATAACATCTCCACAATAAACCCAACCCCGACCAAGGAGGGTTTGATGTAGATGGGAAGTGAGCAAAGTTACCTGAGGGTGACTTTGCAGAGGTCTTCTTCGCATCCGCAGGCTTCGCATCCGTCTTGATGGCTGCCCAAGACAAAACACACCGGTGAGCGTTTCAGGTGAGACGTCTGGAGTCCCAGCACGGATTTCCCCTCTAGCTCAGGGGTTCTCCATGGCTCCACTCATCCTGAGGGGCCCTCTCGACCCACAGACCCCACTTCTACCACGCTGCTTGAAATAAAGCATCTCAAGAATTAACGGCTCCATTTGAACGCCCGGGTGAGGTCCTCCTCATTAAAACAAGCAAAAAAATACTCATGTTTTCCAGGAAAAGGGTCAATTCATCAAAAGCATCATCGTTCGGTGACGCAACACCTGGGGTGTGGTAGGAAACTCACATTTGTCCATCTATAACCTTGACTTTATTGCTAGATCAGTCCTACCAAAGCTAATTTTCTTGCACGTAAGTTATTACACCTCTTTTGGTCCCTATTATATATAATTAGATAAAACCAAAAATCAATCACTAAACTGAACTACACCAATGACGATGACCTGATTGTGTTCCACAGAGAGGACAGCCTCAAGCAGGACCACATCTGGATTTCTCAAAGCAGAAGAAAACCGTACACCCCATTGATCAAGGCAAAAATAATGGACTGAAAAATATAAATAGAGCCTTATTTTATGGAGCTCTTTGATAAGGAAATTGTAGCTTTTTTACTCTCAGGGATGATCAACTTTGGCTAAAATTCTCTTCATTTCGAAAGCCAGAGGAAGGCAACATTAAAAACAAACAATGGACTGAAAAAATCTAAGTTCGAAATTATGAAAACCCCCATCTTCTAACATTTAATTTCAATTAAGAGTCTCAGATTTTTAGATAAACTCAAGTAGCTGGCGGGGTACTTCATGGAATTCCAATAAAGAAAAGGAAAAGAGACAGATAACTATAGGCATTAATAGTCTGGATCCTTCCATCCAGACTTTGCTAAAAGCATTCAATTAAACCCCACGGATCAGATACTACCTAATGAGATGAAATGCCTTTGGATAATTTAATAAGGCCTAAAGGATAGATAAATAATTAATACCAAACACTTCAAAAAAGGTCCCGTCGAACCAACCTAATCTCATTCCTCGAGCCCACAACTTTAATTGGGAAAACTATCAACAGAACAGACTTGGTTTTGTACAAAGGCAAGAGGATTAATATATTACTTTAAGATATCAAGAGATGTTATTTTTATTTGTGTCAGGGGGGAGCCCAATGCTGGAACAGCTCTAAGCCAGGAGTACGTGATGCTGAAAATCCAGAGAATGAGAAAGCCACTGGGAAAATGGTCTCTAATGGCAGTCAAGGACTTTGATCTTCTTCTGATCTGAAAGACGGGGAGGTGGCCTTGTACAAACAGAAAAGCCATTTTCAGAGGGAGGGGAAAAGTAATAAAAAACCTCCCCAAATCAAAAAAAAATTAAAATAAATCAAGCACCACGTAACACATGGCTCTCACTGAGAAAGTGACGGACATCTAACGCTTGAAAAAACCCCATACAATTTCAAAACAAGCCACTAAACACACATTTTTAAACAGCGAGAATGACTAAACACTTGTGGAAACCACAAGGAAGCGAGTGTCTGTGCTTTGACACTTGAAAAGCAAGACCAGATGTCCCTCTGAAAGGGACATCTTTAGCCAGGAACTTATTACCTGGCTCAATGCTATGCAACAAGACACTAAATATTGATCAGAAGAGCTCCAGGTCTCCACCACCTTCACCTGGGAATCCAACTGAAACTGCATGTGCTTGACCTAAACCGAATCGTTAGTGTTCGGCTTGTTGAGCTTCTCCTTCAGGTCCCACCACGCTCTTCATCCTCCATCCCACCCTTGCTTTCTCCTCTGCCAAACCAGGACATCAGCACAGGAAGGACATGGACCTGTTGGAGTGGGGCCAGAGGTGGCCACGGAGGGGCTGGAGCCCCTCTACTGTGAGGACAGGCTGAGAGAGTTGGGGGGTTCAGCCTGGAGAAGGCTCCGGGGAGACCTTGGAGCCCCTTCCAGTCCCTCAAGGGGCTCCAGGAAAGCTGGGGAGGGACTCTGGATCAGAGAGGGGAGCCCTAGGAGGATGGGGAAGGGTTTGACTCTGAAAGAGGGGAGATGGAGCTGAGATGTGGGGAAGAACCTCTTTGGTGGGAGGGTGGTGAGAGCCTGGCCCAGGTTGGCCAGAGAAGCTGTGGCTGCCCCATCCCTGGAGGGGTTCAAGGGCAGGTTGGAGGGGGCTTGGAGCAACGTGGTCTGGTGGGAGGTGTCCCTGCCCAGGGCTTTAATGTCTCTTTCCAACCCAACCATCCTGTGATTCTAGGATTCTGATTCCCTTCCTTCACCATCCATGACTCCTCTGAGCATTTCCAGATCCAGACTTCAACTCCACCAGGAGATCCTCCAGCTGACCTCATCTCGCCCACCCGGTTCTCCCTGTGCTTTGGCAACATCCCACCACCTTGTTGGGTGCCGCAGCCTCTTCCTCCGTACATCTTGCCACTTGGAACAACCTTCCCGCATCTCCGCATGGTTGACTCCATCTCCTTTCAAATGTCATCAGAAAACGCTTCTTTGTTTGCGTCTCAATTTTTGGAAGGTGAAATTAACGGAACTCATTAAAAGGCATGAAACATTCTGGGCTGAGGTTTGCATAAAAGACCACACAAAGTGGATTTTAGAAGGATGTCCCCAGGAGCAGTGCAGATACGGGGCTCCTGGAAAGCCCAACGCTTCCTCCGCGCTTGATTAATTGTATTTTCCCCTCGAGCATAAAGTACAGAACACACATCCAGCCCGATACATCTCAAATAGTTAAACCCCTGCTATTCTTTTGGGAAAGACTGGTTACGAATTCATGCTTTGGGACTCATACAACAAAGCAACCAATAGGTTTTATCAGTTTTACATGTTTATCGGCCAATTTTTGCCAGTGAGGCCTAGTCATTTGAAAGGCCCTGAGAACACCTAGATGTCCTGTTACCTGACCTTAAATCTCTCAAGCTCCATCAGAACAAGAGAAAACACTGTTTTTGAGATGCTAACACGCTGCTTGTGTTTCCTGCTCCCTGTGTTAAACTCCCAGGAAGTTCCCTCTGGCAACACCAGGGCTGGGATATGGTTTTCTGACAAAGCTGATGTGATTTCAGCTCCAAATTCTTCCTGCACTGGTAAAAAAATTCCACTTCTGTTCAGGCCTCCCCTGGTTTTCAGATGCACAAGTTTGAGGGCTTCCAGTCCTTCTCTGGGATTTGCTTTTCCCAAGTTTTAAATTGGTTTCTGTGTTTATTCTGTTACTATGGCAAAACACAGAGGTAAGAGCTTCCTTTTTCTTAAATCCAGCTTGTTCAGTAATTGCATTAACCCTGAATCGCGCCGAGATGAGGTCATTCACACAGAATCCCAGAGTGATATGGGGTTGGAAGGGACCTCTGGAGATCATCTCCTCCAACCCCCACAACCCTAATTCAGATTTTTTTTTTTTTTTTAAGAAGAGGAAGCCCTGTAGAGAAAAAGGCCTGACCTCAGGTCCTGGGGCCTTGGCACAGGATCTTGTGCTGTTTTAAGAAAGTAGGTACTTTGGCTGCCCCTAAAACTTCAAGTCAGCTCCTGGCCAGGTTGGACCAGCTTCCCCTCACAGAAATACTGGTTATCAGCAGCTGTGCTGTCTCAGAAATGGCTATATTTTGAGGTTTTGGGGATTTTATCCCTTCTTTTAAGCCCAAAGATGACAAGCTCAGTTACCAGGAGACTAATTTTAATAAACTGATGGGGCCACGGGATGACTTGGACACGGGGAGAGTAGTGGAAGCCGTGAGAATTCCATGGTGACCCAATGGCGCTACTCAAACAGAAACCTGCTGCTGGTTGGAAAGAGAGATCTCCTGAAATAAAAAAGAAAAAAAAGAGAAAATACTCACAGGTTGGCCTCTTGGGAGGAGAAGCAGCAGTGGTTTTCGCAGCAGCAGCGGTGACCGGCGCCGCCGCCGCGGAGCGAGGAGGAGCAGGGCTGCTCCTGGCAGCGCTTCTGGTGGCGGCCGACAACGGAGGCTTCGAAAGTGAGGTCTTCTTCTCCGGGGCCTTCCCATCTGCAACCTGCAAACGGGCAGGTGGAGTTAGAGCCAAGTATCTCACTGAGTTACGGAGCAAAGTGTTTGTTTGCCAACAAAAAAAGCCCAAAATAAATCAAAATTGTTTAAATTCTTAAGCGCACAAGCTGAAATATTATAATGCAGAAGATTAGCAATATAATGGAGAAGTGACCAACGATATTCCATGTAGGACACGGAGCACAGACCCCGCTGAATATTCAGATCAATCCAGATGTGTTTGAGGTTAACGTGGGGAGCCGTTTACAGATGTGAAGGAGGTTTTGATTTCTGAAGATGGAAAACTAAAAGGGGACTTATTAAAACGCCGTGGACCCAAGAATTAGGTGTCCGTGGTTCGTTCCTCACTTGGAAAACTATTTCCTGCCTCTCCCCGGCACTTGTTTGTGACCTGACTGATCTCTTGGGTATTAAAATACCGAGTTAATGCATGGAAAGAAATGAGAGGAGATTTTTATTTCCTCAAAAAGGGATGCAGAATCACACAAAACTTAAAACTGAAGACAGTGGTTCACAGAACAAAAACCCACCCAAGCACAGATTTATGTCTGCGCTTTCATACTCTTTTTGTTATTTTTAGTTAGTTTTCAGGCACTCGAATGCAGTTAAGCTTAAGCCTGTAGTAGAAATGCTAGGAACTAAACATCAAGCTTCCAAAATAGATTTTAACATTCTCTTTCAAATTTGACACCTTATTCTGTACAATAAGTTAGTGTAGGGAAAATTCAAGGGGCGTTTCCCGTTCTTAGCATTACTTGGGGATGCTGTAATTCCACTTCAAGATGCAACACTAAGAACTGGCCACAATTCTCTTGTTGGAGAATGACAAACCTCCACTATTTCCTAAGCCCCTATTATCAGTTACCTTTCTGCATTTTTTATAACAGCCAAACAAGCAGGGGAAATACTGAAGTGCTCAAAACTGATTTCCCCCCCCCCCCCAATATTAATACCTGAGCTCTCCATTCAGTTTTCCCTGATTCTTCTCTGGATTTTAGAGTTTTCCTACGTTTGTAGTGTATGTATGTTTAAAAACCCACCCTTTATTAATGAAAAGAAATAATTTTATTGTGAACTGTGTCCTCCTGACAGCTCACGAGGACAACGGCAGTAACACCGTCAAGTTTAACCTTCTCCTCCGTGACAACACAAAATTAAACACTTGGGGGGTGGGTTAATTAGTGGGTTAATGGAAGGCGATATTAATAACTGTGCAGCTCCTAACAGCCAATCCCAGTCCTGAGCTCACCCTCATAGAATCATAGACTCATAGAATGGTCTAGGTTGGAAGAGACCCTTGGGATCATCGAGTCCAACCATCTCCCCTACTCTACAAAGTCCTCCCCTACACCATGTCCCTCAGCACTGCATCTAAACGGCCCTTAAACACAGCCAGGGATGGGGACTCCACCCCCTCCCTGGGCAGCCTGTTCCAATGCCCGACCACTCTTTGGGTGAAAAATCGTGACTAGAGCTGGGATTTGATGGGTGGGAGAGGTGGGAGAGGCGGCTGGTAAACGAAGAGGTCAATCAGTTCTGGGAGCTCCCGCAGGAAAGCAAAGTGTTTCTTACCTTTGGTTTCGTCTCTTTCGGAGCTAAGGAGGAGGAGGAGGAGGGACGGGAGGTGCCGGTGGCCGGGCGCTTGGCGGCGGTGGCCGAAGGAGGACCTGCCGTGGGGCTGGTGCGTTTTTTGTTTGGGTCAGCGGGGGCCGAGAGCGGCCGTTTGGGGCTGGGGGCTGACAAGGGCCTGGCTTTCGTGGCGGCAGGTTTTGTGGAGGAGGCGGAGGCGGCAGGCTTTAGGGGTTTTCAAAAAAAAAAAAAAAAAAAAAAAAAAAAATTTTAAAAAAAAAAAAAAAAAAAAAAGCAAAATCCGGCATAAAAACGAAACAAAACAAAACAAAACACAAAAAATGCAACAATAAAACAACAACAAAAAAATAACAGCGCATCGTAAAACCAAAATATCGAGCTGCAAGAACGGAAAGATGGTATTTTAAATGAAACGAACCCAAAATAATCAGCTTTCTGTTTTCTGAGCCTCATAAAAGGACCAAAAGGAAGCAGCAGGAGATGAAGCTGCCCTCGGGGCCCAGGGGGTGGGGTGGGGGGGTTTGCCGTTTGATTCCAAGCGAAAAGGATGAATTCCAGCCACGTGGAAAGCAGCAGAAGGAAGGGCTGGGGGAGCTGGGATTAGTGGTGGGTGCTCCTGGCATCCCGTCCTGTGCCCAGTGCACGGGGACATCGCTCCCCAACCGCAGGACACAGCGGCCGGGGGGCTCCCAAACCCCCCCATATCCCCTCTCCTGGCCACGTGGCCACTGCCGGTGAGGGGACCACAACCCCCCAGCCTTGGCCACTGCCCTGAGAATTTGGGGTTGGATTTTGCCAAACGGGGCAAACTCTAACAGCAAGTACCTCTCTGTTCCATAAAGAGCCCTAAAATAAGAGAATTTCAGCTCCTATTACCCCTGAATGCTAATTGTAACGCAAATAAATGTGCTGCAAACAGCGAGATGTTCTGTAAAGAGCCCTAAAATAAGAGAATGTCAGCTCCTATTACCCCTGAATGCTAATTGTAACGCAAATAAATGTGCTGCAAACAGCGAGCAGAGCATCAGAGCAGCAGAAGTGTTATCCCACACGTTTGCTACTCCTACACCACCCATACAAACAGGGAATTAACTTAAATAAAGCTCGCCATGCCTTTATTAAACCCATTTCCAATCAACACCACTACGGGCCGAGCTGTTTGTTGGCAACTCCAGCAACTGGAATTCTTTATTTCTGTGAAAACGGTTCTCAAACGGCAGCTCAGAAAACAGAACTCGTGTGGCCACAGCTTAAGAAGCAGAAAAGCTGGGAAATTAAAAAAAAAATATGCAGAAACGAAGAGGCCGGAACGTGAAATGACACCTACCTTTGTCTTCTTCTCAGGGCTGGGAGGAAGCTCTTTGTTGGGGGGTGCTGTGATATCGTTCCCTGTCACAGCTTCAGCTGGTTTGGTCTCTTCTGGTTTTCCTGGGAAAAAAATAAAAGGAAGGGAGACTTTTTAAGTTTGAGGGTTTTTTTTTTTGGTTTTGTGGGTTTTTACATATATATTTTTTTTATAAATATATATGTGGGGTTTCATATTTTTTTATATATATATATTATTTTTTAATATATATATACAAAGTTTTTTTTTTAGTTTACTATTATTCAAGACAGAACAGGAGGAGACAGAACCAAGACAGTTAGAGGTTGGCTGTTTCTGGAAAATTCCCCCCAAACCAGAACACCTACAGGAAGAAAGATTTTCCCTGGATGCCAATAGCAGCCAATTCTCACGTTATCCCAGCAGGAAAAGGCAGGCAGCTGATGGAGGAAACCCCTGGTGTAAATGAAGAGCAAACCTTCCCATCTTTCAAGTCATTCACATGAAATGTTGGAATGGTAACGGTGGAGTTGTGACCTCTTCCAGGTTTTAGGCTGTGACTTATCCTGAAGTTTTCAAGCTCTCCAATGGGAAAGGGAAGGAACATGGAAACATGGGGAACACCCAACCCTTGTTAAGTGTGAAAACCATCATGGGGGATAGTCCCGACCATTGTTAAGTGTGAAAACCATCGTTAGGGATCATCCCAACCCTTGTTAGTGTGGGAACCATCATTGGGGATCATCCCAACCCTTGGTAAGTGTCGAAACCATTGTTGGGCATCATCTTGACCCTTGTTGAGTGCAGGAACCATCATTGAGGATCATCCCAACCCTTGTTAAGCATGAAAACCATCACTGGGGATCATCCCGACCCTTGTTAGTGCTGGAACCATTGTTGGGGGTTACCTTGGCCCTTGTTAAGCGTGAAAACCATCGTGCCACGGTGCTGTACACGTGTTTCACAGCAAAAAGCTTCAGTTTGGCTACAATGGTTGCCATTTTTTTCAGGGTGATGGGTCATTTTTGTCATTGCCACCCAAGGCCGAGCGGGGACAGCAGATACACACGCTCATCTCCCAAGAGCAGCCGAGCAGCCACAACCAATTCATCTCCTTCTGAAAACCAGTCTCTAAAGCCACGTCTGGCCACCGGCAGAGGGTGACTGCCACCCCCCCAGAGCAGACAACAGAACAAAACGTTAATTTAGGAGCAGCTTCGCCAAGTCTTCTCCCTAAATCTTACAAATCCTGCAGCAGAACGGCCACGCTGCTCCGCACCCTGAGCCACGCCAGAGGCAATTTCCCTATAAATAGCTTTTAAAACCGTTAATTTTCAGCGGTGCTGCTGCGCGACGGCGCTGGAATTCGATGAAGGACACGGCCCAAGGAACCCATCACCAACGTACGCCTTCTCCCTTGTCATCTGGGGATTAACATAAAGCATTATCTGTGGTGGATGCTTCTTCTTCTAACAAGGCAACAGATTGTAACGCTGCGGCGCACGCTACGGGGCCACCAGACAATAGCGTAACCGTTCCAACGGTGAAAAAGGGTGTTTTCTACCTCTTTTGAAAAATGACTATTTTTATTGCACTCTTTTCTTGCCCGTCAGTCCTGCCGGGAGAGCCCCAGAGGAGGGGTCAGTTCTGGTACAAACGCCACTAGTGAAACAAGGAAAATAGAAATGGCACCTTCCGCCCGCGCTGCTGAAGCTGAACCACAGGATGGGTTGGTTTGTCCTTGATTTATTTTTTTTTTCTGACTCTGGGACAAGTTTAGAAGCTTGGTTTTCTCCCCACATTGCATTGGCCATTGAGCTTCCAAGTCGTACGACATGTTTCGCCGCGCTGGCATTTAACAAAAGACTTGTGAACGAAGAACAAGCACCAAAACGTACAGACTGGACACTATTTTTAATGCAAAAGTCTCAAGAATCATTTGTGTTAACTTAAAAATACTTTTTTTTTTAGTAGTTAATCTATATTGGCTCCTCTATACCAATTTTCTCTGCTACGTTTCAATAAACCTTTATTTTTATTTATTGATATATTGTGTAGAGCAACTGTCAATGGTTCCTGTTTCCAAGGACCGTTAATGCAAAAGTCTCAAGAATAATTCATGTTAACTTAAAAATACCTTTTTTTTTTTTTAGTAGTTAATCTATATTGGCTCCTCTATACCAGTTTTCTCTGCTACATTTCAATAAACCTTTATTTTTATTTATTTATATATTGTGTAGAGCAACTGTCAATGGTTCCTGTTTCCAAGGACCAACCTCCCCTCCATTTGCCCCTGCGCCTGGCGATGGTTTTATTTTGAGTCCTACCAGCCTCAAATATCTCCGAGTCAAGGTGATTTTCCATCCGTTTGGAAGTTACCTTTCCCTGTACTGTCATTATTTCAGCTAATTCAGCGGCAACACGAACCCTCTGGTTTGGTGACGGTGCCCCAGCAGCTACACAGCAACGTGAACCCATCTCCTCAGGGAGACTAATGCTCAAAAAAACCCTCCAAAGTTTCAGGATTTAAATTCCAGCAGCTTCCACGCTCCTGGACTAATGACAACATGAATTTCACATTATTTCACGTTATTTAATCAAGCCCAGGCTACTCTACAGGAAATTTGGAGTAGGTAACGTCAACACACAAAATGATCAGATTGAGGTTCTACAAAACAAATAGGATTTTTCAATTATTATTTTTTTAAATGTAACCCAGAAATGTAGCTGTGCTGCAGGACAGCGCACGTACGGGCTCAGCAACCTGCACCTATAAATAATAGTAATGATGATGATAATGATGATGATGATGATGAGGACGACGTTGACAACAAACGCAGGAGAGCTGGGAAGGAAACCATGATCCAGGTTCCACCTCTCCCAGGCTCTGACACAGGGGGGTCCACAACCCCACAAGGGATTTACAGAAGGAGAGTTTGGTTTCGTGCCCCCTCAATTTGCGTAACAACCCTCTGCTTTCATCCCTCCTTTAATGAGGAGGACACTCTCTGCCACACGGGGCAGGGAACCGCCTGGGAACATTTCCTACTTAGGGGGAATATTAGGCAAAGCTGCCAAACTTCAATCAAATTTGTTCATTAGTCTGCAAGAATTATTTAAGGGACTTTTTCCAGTTTGCTTGTTCCCCCAAGCACGGCAAAAAAAACCCCTCTGAAAGTTATTTCAAAGGCATTTTGTTGGGGGCTGGTGTTCGCCCTGAACACGGCTCCTCCTCCCGCTCCCCAGGGAGAAAATCCAGCTCTGCTGAGTCAGCACCGGGATGGAATTACTCCCGGGGGGTGGAAAAGGGGTTTGAAGGAGACTGGGAAGGACATTCTGGATCTGGCCTCTTCCACCGATAAACTCAAAGGCATCCCCCTGCCATGGGGGTTGTTTTCTCCCCGCGGCTGCTCACTGCGCCGCAGTTTGGTCCCTCCATCCTCATCCCCCCACAACCACTCGCTACTCACTAAATGAGTTTTTAATGGTGGAAATCCAATGGAAATCAACCTTTTTTCACAATACCGCAAGGAACCTCTGCTTCATAATTTCTAAGAGCAACACTGGAAGCAATAATTCCCATCTCAGGCATCAATTATGAAGGAGAGAACTCGAGACGTGGTGCTTTTTGTCTCCCTTAAGAGCGATACCGAGCATCCTTCCGACACGCTCCCATTGGGATTTTAGACAAAACAGGCACATTTGTCACCAGAAAGCCAGTATTTGTCACCAGAAAACAGACTATTTGCCACTGCTGGAGGAAGGACCCAGCCAAGAAGAGCCCACGGTGCTCAGATGAAAACTGAAGTCAGAGGGAACAAGGCTCACCAGCCCAACCCACCCCTCGGAGCAGGTCCCAGTAGACCAAGCTGCTCACACCCATGGCCAGTGTAATTCCCAAATATAAGGAGGTCACACAGTGGAAGGAGCCCAAAGAGGTTGTGAGATCTCCATCCTTGGAGACATTCAGACCTGGAAGGGACACACATGGCCCTTGGAACAACTTGATGTACTTACACGTGGGTTTTGAGTTGGGGGTTAAACTGGAGACCCCCAGAGCTCTGTTCCATCCTAAGTGACTCTGTTCCAGCTGTGGAGAGGAGGATGCCTACATTTAATCGTACGTCTTCTTGAAGCCAAGTCCCAATTATGAATAACTACCTACAGTTTTCCTCATCATAAGGAGAAAACGCCACCCCGCTCTCCTCCAAAAAAAACCCCTTCCTAACCATCCTGTGACTTGCAATTTAGAGATTACCCCCTTGTCCAACAGCTTTTTAACCCGTGTAATTATTTAATATTAGAAGACCAGAACATCGTAGGTTGGGAGGGATCTCTGGAGGTCATTCAGCCCAATCCCCCCACTCAAATTATACCAGATTCCTCGAGGCTGTAGCATCTCCAAGCATGGAGATTCCACATCCTGGGGCTTCTCCTCCGATATTTGACTAATGCATGGTAGAAAAAAGAAAGACTCTCAATTCACAAATTCCTGGCACAAGTTGTTTTACGGCTTCACCGTAAATTGCTCACAACTCACCCAGCACCGTTCGCTCTCATCGGCTGCTGCTATTTTCGTTTCCTGACCCATATTCTTATCCTGGAAAAACGGAAGAGTCTTCTCTCGTTCACAACTTTCATGTCATTCATGGCTTTACGGACAGTGATGGCAACCATCTCCCTCCCCAAGTCCTCCCTCTCCAGTGCTACACAGTTGTAGTTTATTTGGCCATTCCCCATATGAACATCTCTAATACGATGCCTTTATTTATCAGACTTCTAATTTCTTGAGACAGAGGACAATGTGCAGATTCCCACATCACATTCAGAAATCAAGTGCATAATGAATTTATAAATCAATATAATTTTTTCTCCTTTATTCTCTCTTCCTTCCTGAATTCTTAGAACTCCATTAGCTGAAGGGAAGCCCCACAGAACCATCCTTAGGACACCTAAGTCCTATAAAATCCTTACGACAGGAGCGTTATTGCTCCTCCTCTCCAAGGACAGAAACAAACCCAGGAGGGTTAGAGCTGAGCTGGGACCCAAGAGCAGAGCAAACACAGACCTTCAGCCTTTCAGACCCTTTCACCATCAGTTTGGC